TATATATATATATATATATATATATACATAAATCTCATGTCAGAAATGCATATAATAGCCCATTACCTGTTAACAAACACATTAATGAGAATATTATTGCAAAATATCATACTTTAGAAGAATATTTTTTCCAAATATTTCCATTTTGTTATTCTTGTGAAAAGATAATTTTATGAAAAGTATTTTATTAATGAATTTAAAAGCATATTAAAATGTATATAAAGCTTTAAGGTAAAAAAAATGCAGGAAGTTTTTATATTGTTAAGTAGGTCTTGTTCGAGAACGTTTTACTGTAGAAACTGAAGAGTATCTTGGATGATATGAAGCCGGTACTTTTATGTATTTGTGGTTTTAGTTATTTCTTTTAAATAGTAATAAATAGAGTTTATTTTAAATATTTCTTAAGTCATTTGTATATTGTTTCATCTTTATCAATCACTTCCTTCAGCAAAATATATTTGTTTCCTTGTATGATATCCAAAAAGAATTTCAGATAAAACTCTAAAAGCTAAGTTTGAAAATAAACATATCATATCATCACAAAGACAACCTGAAATTATCTGAAATTCTTTCCAATTCTTTTTGGATATCATTGATATTAACTTTAACTCCAGGGTAATGCATTATGAAATGAATAATTTCTTCTCCTTTTATATTATTATTAGTTTCCTTTTTAATCTTAGCTATATATATCACAAAGAATAAAAATGTGCAAGGTGAAATAAGTCTATTCTACCTAACAAGGCAACCCTTCCAATCCACTAAAGCATCCAAACCATGTACCTAATCATAATATTTTAGAACAACTTATACTAATAGCACAAAACAAATTATCAGACAATTATTCTCTAACTTTATAACTAAAGAGAGAAAATATATAATTATAACAAAGATACAAACATACTTACATATACTTATTCTGATACTGAAATTACAAAGTCACATAGTTTTTCAAGTTTGCATTTCCAACCTTTTCATTCAACCATTGAAACAGACCACCTGTATGCAGCTTTTCCAAGCCTCTAGCAATTTCAAACACCTAACTCAAGTCACTTCTAGAGGCAAGAAGTAAGATAGATACTCTGTTTATAGTGAATACTTGATCTAATGATGGAAGTAATGTCAACTTTGAAAAGTTAACAGCCTTGTACAAAAAGCTCTTTCAGAGCTTTAAGGATACAAACTTACAAATACAGTAGTTATAGTATGAGGTTTTTCTCCATATTAATAGCTTAAATAAGATACAAGGATTAAATAAGATATTATTAGAGATATAGTAGATCAACAAGTGAACTGGGTAGGTTTGTGGGACAGGATTGACAGTGGGGAAGAGATGTCTGCATGCTATAGGCTTCAACTAAACCATTCAGGAAATAGTGTGTTTGAAGAAACTTTAAATTACTTAAGTAGGAACTGCTTAAACTAAGTTTAGATAGTGCTGAGAAAATTTCTTGGACATAGAGGGGCCATGCTATGGATGTGAGGATATGAATTGAATGAATTAGTTGGTAATGATAAAGTTATCAAAATTTAACATCATATACATAAAAATATAAAATTTTAGTATTATAGGTGTATGCACCTGCAAAACTGTAGCAAAATAATTAAAATTATACTATTTACACAAAAGTATAAATGCAAGTAAAAGCATTGACAATATCCTATCTATCAGTCACAATTAAACTAACAATTGCAAAACTTCAAAGCAAGCTACAGATTCAATAAGGGGTTAGATGCTAGAGCTCATAACTTTCTAGATCCCACTACTACTCATTATCTATAGTTAGTTGTGGACATGACAGTTATCCCCAATTATATAAAAATAGAATTCTAACATCATCACCTGCCCTCAAGTTCAATAAAAAATATCATAATATTTCCATGATAATTCTAATAATACACGAAGCTGCAATTTTAGTATTATAATATTATACATGATGTTATAAAGTACAAATCCATTTCAGTAATTCTGGTACCCCTACCTCCTTCCTTAACAAAAGCCTAATCTTTCAAGCAAATGTGGATAAACTGAGCCGGGTCCAGTTGCTACTAGATTTTAAAAACTTAAGTGAGAAATGATTTCATTCAAATTGTTTGTAAAATATTTACTTTCTGATAAGTTATAGAATTTATTATAAAATAATTTAAAGACTTTATTAGTTTCAAAATTACTTAGTCATTAAATAAAATAATATTTTAATAGCTCTACATTATATGTGAAGAAAATGCTTTTACTACAGACTATTAAATATCTTTTAATTTGTGAGTTTATTATACCTTTTAATGGCACCACATTATTTGGGGAGAGCAGTCATAAGATGGAAATTAAATTATCTTATTTTATCAAATATGTCCAACTACACTTTTCTAAAAAGCTAATACCTGAAAAAAAAAGAGTGCTTTGAAAACTAAATTCAAGTTCAGGATAAATTTCAGAATGTTTAAATTCTGGATTATTAAGTTGATACTAAGTCCTCAAAGTAACAGAAAGTAAACACATATTTGTCAGGACTTGCTACTTTATTCATAAATAAATTGCATAAAAAGATTCAAGTTAGCCATATTTGATGAGAAATTAGCCCCTTGTACCATTGTAGTGATGCCAATTACCTTTGATGTAATACAGATAATTGTGAAATATATATACACACACACACTGATTTTAGAAACTTTGGTCTTAGTTATGTTAAATGTCATTAGTGTTACTGAATATTATGAACACAGTATTTTAGAAGATATTAAAGCATTTTGTAGAAAATAGGTTAATGAAATATGGGATGATTAATTTATTTATGAATTAACTGCTTTAAAAGAAATAAAGTCACTAAAGATTAGTGAAAGAAAGAAAATGGTTGCTTAATTACATTTTAAGTTAACTGATTTGCAATCTTTTTAACTGGCATTTCAAAAATATGACATTTAATGATTTACTAAATTACACTAAACTCTTAAAAAACAAAACACTAAAAACTAGCCCTTATTCAAATATTTATCAAGCTTTCCCTTAAATTAACTGCATCCACTACATTTAAAGGCAATCCATCCCAAAAGCCAACTATCCTGTCAAAAATAAAGCTATCTTAGCTAAAGATAAATATAATTTGTCAGGTAACTATAGAATATAATGATATTTCTAAATTCTATCCTTTTTTGTTAGTGTTAATTTGATTAATATAATTTATACTTTTCATTCCACATAACTATATACTTTTTTGTCTATTTATGATAAAGCTATTAAAACTTAAAGGTGACAAATTGTAAAAATAGTACCTAGCCAGCAGTACGGGCTAGGATGAGTAACATACTAAAAAAAATAGCGCACTGTCGAAATTGGATTTTACATTTTCGAGCAGATCACATACTTCATGTAACATCTGTAAGTGTAACACAACTATTATACAAAACCAGTTTCTTTTATTTAGTTTTACTGTTCTACATACCTCAGGTAGTCCGCATATTCCTTTATCTTCGTAGCGTGACAAACCATCTGCGTAACTGCATGACATACTAAAAAGTAAAATTGGTATAATAAAATACTATTTGTACTAGTATTAGTAGCTTAAGCACTCGTTTTTTGGTTTGACAGCGGCGAAAATTTGATTCCCTTCTTTCGCATTTGACACAAAGTGACACTGACAGATGATTACAACTTACAATTTAAAAACGAAAATTACGATACGCCTTTATAAAGTCCTTAAGTTAAAAATAATCAGTTATTATAAAGCAAATGATTGTGAAATTAAAAATATGTATTTCAAAATGCTACAGCTTCTCGTTAAAACATTATCTACGATTTGAAACTATGTAGTTTTTAAAATAAAAGGCAGAGCCTCATCTTTTTAAATATTATAGTAATAGAGAAAGAAAGAGCTATTCCATAGCAGTGCCCTCTGTAATCAAACATACAAAAAAATACTATTAAAAAATGAACAGTGCACATAATTTGAGCTATAATTACCAGGGTACCGGGTAGGTCGAGCCCCCTACCTAAAACACACACCCCTCACAACTATTGGACTGTTTTTCAATGGAAGGGGTTCAATTTTTGAACAGTTTTTTTTAACATATTAAATATGAAAACTTCAATGATTGTAAGTACAATTGACGGCCTATGTAAAATAAATGTGTCAAATAATGTCGGTATCGTAGGCAGTAGTAAGTATCACATTCATGCTTTGTCAATGAAACTAATTGATCAATTACCAATGGTATTATTCACATTATATGAACCATAAATGATAATCGGTCTTACCCTTTCAGTCTACAAAATAAATCATAGGAAAAAATCCCCGGCGAAATTTCCCGTTTACTTTAATCCTCTCCCACCAAAAAAATCATGAAAAACGAGGAAGTTCTGAAGTTATTAATTACCAAAGCTATTGTCCAAAATCATTTATTGCTTAAGTGACATTTTATTTTCTTACTTGCAACAGATTCCACAGAATATTAAGTACCTGGTTTGTCTGAGAACATTGAACATTAGTCCCTCGGCGACATACAGGAAAATATCAAAACAGCACCAAATAAACAAGCCCTGAAAAAATTAGTTGTGTGGTTATCATTTTAAAGAAGAAACTATGCACGGAGAGAAGAGACGGAAAAGAAGGATTCAGAAGGCCAAGCTCAAACAAGGGTGCAGACTTTTGAAAATGTTTAACCATAATCAATTATGGTATGTTAAGCAAAAGTACAACTTATAAGTGGTCAAGAAACGCAGTCAAGAAAGTACTTCAACTACATTTTGCTTGTGGGGCAACAGGATATCAATTGTTATTGTTGCGAGGGCAGCCATTTCCCTCAATGCGGACACTGAGGAGGAAAATGGAAGTGGTTTCCCTTGAACCAGGAATTTTTATAGATGTATTGGACTTCATGAAACTGAGAGTGAAAAACATGACACCAACTGAAAGATATTATTGTCTAACCATTGATGAAATGTCTATCAAAACTGGAATGCAGTATGATTCTGGCAGTAGCTATCTTCAGGGTAATGTCGCTCTTCCAGACCACGAGGGTACTGCTACACATGCTCTAGTGTTCATGTTAGGTGGCATTAACACATGATGGAAACAAACAGTAGCTTACCACTTAACTGGGAATGCTGTTGAAGGTTCTACATTGAAAACATTGGCTCTGGATCTAATCACAAAGCCTCATGCAATTGGTTTACAAGTTATTGCTGTTACTTCAGATATGGAAAGTTCAAATAGAGCTATGTGAGCATGTTTTGGTGTGGTCTGTACGGTCCAAGTACGGTCACATAGTAAACAAAATTTCACATCCATGTCAATCTAGGAAGTTTCTTCATTTTCTATATTCCTCATGTCATTAAGAACATGATAAGTGCCAGGCTTGGTAATTTGGTAACTTTGTCTAATGACATTGTTTAAAAGTTTCGACTTCCTGGCAATAGTGTAAATGTTGAATATGTCAGATCTTTGGCGTCTTTTCAAGAGCATAAAGACCTAAGACTTGCTCCAAAATTATGCTTAATCCAGCTCACTTTGATAAAATGAAGGTGTCACAGGCATTGGTTTTTTTCAGTAACTCTGTAAGTTCAGGCTTAAGATATCTTGTTCAGTATGAGGGCTATGATCCATCATGCCTCACTACGGTCTGGTAAACAGATCTTTGTAATAAATGTAATGGCGTTAAGTGAACATTACTCTGAGGGCCGTATGAAAGCAATATCTCACTTGGAATTAGCCTTGGGTGTGTTTCAAAAAATGAATGTAGGTCAAAGAGGTCAGTGGAAACCAATTCAAACTGGTTATACTGCTCTCTCTTAAGTCCATATTTGATATTCAGGAAGAAATCCTCAATGATGGTTTTCATTTTGTGCTAACTTTACGTTTTACACAAGATTATCTCGAAAATGTATTTGGTTGTTTTAGAAGCAAAAATCCAATTCCAACTGCTCTTGAGTTAAAAAATTCTCTAAAGTTTCTTACTGTCTCATAGTACCTGAAAGCACCTACATCAAGAAGATGGGAGAGAGTACCTTGCCAAATTTCTCAACAAGCAACCATCCAATACAGATGAGCAGATGGGTCAGAAGAAATAAATGAAACTTTCGTTCACTTTTCTTCTAACCTCTCTCTAACCGAGGCTGAACTTAATATCCTTGCATACTTAGGGGGCTACTGCGTGAATACAATTGTGAAGTCTAAAAAACATTGTGAAGACTGCTTGACTACAATGAAACTTCCAAATGGAGAAAACTGTAAATCCAGTAGGCCCACTTTGTTAAAAGAGTAGAAAATTGAATGTCTTAATAATATAACAGATTGGTGATTTGCTGTTTTGCAGAAACCTGAATTGATTTCCAAAACAAGTCAGGACCATTTTGGCACAGGTAAAAACTTGAAGCAAATTCTTCTTGAGAAGGCCACAAGTGAGACTTCTCAGATAGATTTTCCACCATGTGATTCTATCAAATCAAATCTTTTATCCAATTATTAAGAGGTAAGGTTGCACATTCATGCCAAGAAACAGGCGGAAATTCGAACAAATGCATTACTGTAAAAGAAATGAGGTGGTGAACTTCAAAATAAAAGCTATGTAATAAGGCTATTGGTGAAAAAGCTAAAATAATTCAACTTATAGTGTTACTTGTCAACAATCAGTGGTGCTTAATCACAGATCTGGTAACTTCAGACAGCCATATTTATAATTTCAAAACAGAGCACATAGCCTGAGATTAGTTTAAGTCCTTCACATAAAATTCTGGCTATGGTATGAGAAAGAAGGACTGGGGATTTCAATTCCTCCATTATGTGTTTAGTGAGTTAAATATCCTGGCTCATATCATCTAAGCTTAAAGAGGTTTAAGATTGTGTTTGATTACCTCTTAAAATCGAGAACATTTCCAGCTTGTTACTGCTTGTATCTTGTACATGGTTAAACAAGGTTTCATTAAAATACAATGGATAATAGGTTTCTTGTTACTGTGTTTCTTTTAACAATCAGTAAATGTGTCCCAAAATGCAAGAGTCAATACAGAGGGCTTACGTAGATAACATTAACTTCTAGTCTGAAATAGTCATCTTGCTCAGTTTTAGACTTGGACCATAATCCTCTGTACGCAACAACCTCACTTGCAAAAAACATTGCCTAATTTTGGTCCAAACCCCCATTTAAGTGTCAGGGTTTTACTTTCTGTTGTTGAATCTGATTTAGAGAAAGTTATACTTTCCGTTTCTCACCATCCCCAGCTTTAATGAGCATCAATATATACCCTTAGTTTTGGCTTGTTATATCTCCAAAAAGGAATCAGTCCTTCAAGTTGTGTAGAAGTTCTCCTCAAAGACAAGTAGTTAATCTAAACAAAATTTTAGGAATCGTATTGCACAATAATTGCTCATGAGAAAGAAGGGTACTCCTGAAGGACAATCTATGCTCTCTTATTCACATTTCTTAAGCAAGGTAAGATAGTAGAGTATGAAATATGATTATTTCCATGACCAGAATAAAGTTTTGATCAAAATTCACTCCCAAGTGACCGTCCGTCTTTGCTTTTTTTATGGCATCAGATGGCAAAATGTGGCAAAATATCCATGGCACATTAATAATAACACCACTAGATTACACGGCTTGGAGTTCTGAAGCAGTGATGTAGCTACGGAAGGGGAAGAAGGGGCAATTTTCCCTTGGCAGAAAATCCTAGAAAATATGGAAATTTCGAAATTTTGGAAAAAAATCTTAATATAAAATTCTCCACTTTTTCCACAAAAGCTTCAATCGTTAATTTTCCCTATTGAAATTTACCCACCCCAAACACTGTTCACTGATCATCCATCACCCCTCTATTACTGAAGCAGTGTCCCTATAATGGATTGCTTCTACAAACTTATCCGCCTCACCCCTTTTAATTCCAGTGCTGCATGTGCCTACCTTTGGAAATGTCCTGTTTTCCTTGTGAAAGTCCACCCATATCAAACTTTAGCAAAACGTACCCATTTGAGTCAATGGCATAACTTTAAACTAGATTTATAGTTGTTGGGGGGATGTGTACTTATGGATTGTTTAATTGATTAATGCGATTTTACCGAAAAGAGTGCAAATGTTCATGGAAAACTACACTTTTGCCAAATCAATAGGTACTCTACATCCGCCCCCCAACCTTCCCTGTCCTTGTTGTTACACCATTTCACCATAAAAAGTTAATCCACTCTTCTAAAAAATCGAATTCTTCCATACACGAACTGTTTACGGGTCGTTTCCAATATTTTCCTTCTGTATCATCATAAAGCAGGATCGTTTCATTTAGATATGCCCTCAAGTACTGAACATGTGCTTAGAGTATGGTAACAGCAAAGCAACTATAAATGAGTTGGCCAAACTCTGTATAAAGGCTCTGGGAGAAAAATAATAAAAAAATTTTAAAAATAAGGAGGTGGATGGCCAGCAATTTTTGGCGCTTCCAACTCATTCTGTTCCATCTTGCGAACAGTCAAGACTTTCGCTTGAAGCTCTACCGCCGTTTTGCTCTTTTGTCAAGTACTGTGGTGCAATGGTACCCACAATGTTTATATTGAAGCTCAATTCTTAATCATACTGCCTGCCCATGGCCAGCATAATAAATTTATCAGAGACATTCTATTCACTGGTGGGACAGCGATAATTTTACAGACTTACAACGCTAAAATCGATTCCCCATGGTGAACATTGCAGATAGCTTAATGTGGCTTTGCTCTAAAACAAACAAACAGAGACTTTATAGAAAACAACCTAATACAAAAAATACGGCATTTACAATAAATTGTTAAAATTGGACATACGTATTTACTTATCACTTATTTAGAAAATTATCTTTGCTTGACGTTACATTGTAATGTTCTCA